CACTGCGAAATTACCGATTAATGGATCTTAAAATATTATTAGAATTTATTAAAAAACAAATATTCCTGTATGTGGAAATTGGTTAGTTTTTGAATAATACAGTCCAATTCATAGTTGAATGGAGAATGCGTGCGTTGCGTTCACCCGGTGCCCTCGTTGTCCATCGCATTGTCACCGACTCTTATTGAATTGTTAGAATATTATGTACGTGAATACTATGAACGAGTGAGTTTTTTTTTCTCCGACATCTATCATATTGGAAATGAAAGCGGTTTCTTTCCGATAGATTGATTGAGCTGTGGCCTCAATGAAATGATAAACATGTCAGCAAAGTTGTTGTGCTTCAGAGTTTGTCTTCTATATAGTCTTGATATCGCATGAATCAACGAAATCGAGGTATTAAAAAATACGTCATAAAAATACTTTTACGGGTTAATATATCACGTTTATTATTTACTATTAACTTTTTCGAATTTCGAATAATTTGCAGTTTTCGTGGTCATGAACGAATAAGCCGTAAAACTAGTTTTGATCAAGAATACGACTCGTGAAAACTGAAAAAAATACAAAAATACGTCCAGTATAATTGCAGTGCAGACACGCAAATACAACATCTAATAATGATGCTTGAAATTACGTGTTGGGACATACTTAAAATCATAGAAGTAATATGCTCTAAGCTTAAAATACTATTTAGCATTTGGTCATTTGACGATTAATAGTTCAACTAATTAGGTGCATACATCCTGCAACCCGTAGTTACTTTATCGATTTATCTGTTTCTATGTACAATAAAGCTAAATTTAAATAACAGAGTGTGAATGAGTGTGAATGTACTGGTGGTAGGCCCTCTTGTGATTACGCACGGGTAGGTACCACCACTCTGCCTAATTTTTCCGTGCCGCAGTAACGCGTTTCGGTTTGAAGTGTGGGGCAGCCGTTGTAACTATACTGAGACCTTATAGCTTATACCTCAAGGTAGGTGGCGCATTTACGTTGTAGATGTCAATGGGCTCCAGTAACCACTTAACCAGGTGGGCTGTAAGCTCGTCCACCCATCAAAGCAAAAAAAAAATTAGTAATTTTAACTTGTCCAAATCTACGTTAAGCATGGACCCAAGCCATGAATGTGACATTGACACTTCCTTTAAATACATCAATTATAATAGAAATCAATGTTTAAAATTGTTATGAACTTCCCTCTTATGATAATTTATATTTCGCTTCACACGAGTCGACATAATAGCCTTCACTTCCCGGTCGGTTTCTTCTCGAGCAGCATCCGGCCTGATAATTGATTCTCTAATTGAATTAGTCACACATAATTAAATCATTCACGCACAATTTTCACTATTACCTTATCTTGGTGTATGCGGAATTCAATTCTTCAATTCGATTTTGTCATCGAGATAGTCTAGGCATGTTTCTATTGTTAGTTCTTTTTGGGGTGATCTGCGCCGTCTGGTTGTAGTGTTGACCGCGGTAACGTCCTTACCTTATTCGGGTGGATCGGACGCTTGGGCGTAGAATGTAGGGCAGTCGCTTAGTGGGTAGTGTCCTGAAAAAAATCTTGGGCCCGCGGTCTTGCAGTCGCGGATCAGTCCCACATACACCGCGCACCCCCTAGGCGCGGGAACCACGGAGGAGGTTCGACACCCGGCCCGAAAAAAAAAAGTAGAGAATTTTGAAATGTTCGAAATATATAATATCGTATTATCGAAACACAGATCGGATGTAACTTTCGTAGGGTTGCGTTTTGTTGCGCAATTTCACGCAACCGCCGCGCATATTTGCATACAATGCCACCGATAAGGCTCTATGCATACGGACGTTTTGATTGAAGACAATTGTATGGTTCTGTTTGTATTGCAAGATTGACGTTCGCCGATTCGAAATCTAAATGTCTGGCGTAAAAGTTTATTTGAGTCTCAAATGCGGAAAGCGTTTTCGAATAAGGCTGAACTTAGATCGGAATTGTTTAAGAGAGTGACATTAGTGGTTAAACTCGTATCGATCTCATACGAGCTCATGAACTATGAATAACACTCCAATTCACTTCCTGAGGCTATTCTCGAGCATGAAATTATAGATAAGATTTGTAATTTTGTTATTGGCAATTTTACTAAGCTGCTGTATAACAAGACTCATGTCTCACGTTGTTGATGTATGTATAAGGACTTCGGTAACCGGTCATCGTTCTCGTCGAACCCGTCGCATGCGACGAAGGGCTTCACGAGTAAGCCCATAGACACAGCTCACTGAGTTTCTCGCCGGATCTTCTCAGTGGGTCGTGTTTCCGAGCCGGTGGTAGATTCTGCGAAGTACGGCTCTTGCTAGGGCTCGTGTTAGCAACGTCATCAGGTTTGAGCCCCGTGAGCTCACCTACTAGCTCGGCGAATCTAGAATAACCCCTCGAGGTTACTAGAATAGGTGGGCCGTGAACTCGTTCACCGGGACAAAAAATGAAAATAAAAATGAGAATCTACTACCTTAGCGGCAGTTTTAAATTTTAATTGTGCTGTATTGTTACGTTAAATCGTAACAAAGGACTGCAACATGTTAATTTACGTAACCTCGGCGCTAGGGCCTTTGTTACGATTAAGCGTTTACCGCCCGAAGAATCGGACGGAATCATCGGCGGCAATTAACCCATTGTACTACTGCCACGTTAGGGTTGGCAAATTGGAATACATTAACCACGATATATTTTCTTAACAAAAATTATATTATTAGGTTTTCGTGAATCGTAGATATAACTAAAACTACTGTTGCCTTTTGAATACTTTACAGTTTTTATCAATTCAAATATTCCACAGTTGCTGACAGTTGTCTTAACGTATAAAAACGTATTCAATGTAACAAGAGAATCAATAAATTAAGAGGATCGAGGTTACTATCGTCACAAAATCAATCATAAAGGTAATTCATAAAATAATAAAGGGTTTCCAAAGTAAAAGAAAACATGCTTAAATAGCAAAACGAACTAGCATTTTTTATCTTTTTTGTTTATCCCGTTGATACTGGTAAGAATATTGAAACGAAGTTATAAAATTATCGTATTGTCCTTGATGCGTGTGCAATTTTTTAAGTAAATCAGAAATCTTGAAGTCGATGAAAATGACGTTCAAAGATCCCCTTACATATAAACATACAAAGCTAAAAAGCACATTAATAAATAATTAATGGATATAATTAAAGTATATACTTTGTATGATTATTATTTGGACTGTATGCCAACAGGTGAATGCAAAAAAAATTACGCTGTATTCCCTAATGCAGATCTGAACTAAGATCTACTCTTTGTATATATTCCTTGGATATAATTAATTAGGTTTATAATTGGCGTCAGCTTGTGACGGCAGCCCTACGCGCGGACCTAGCATTGAACGAAACTGGCCTGTCATTAATCTTGTTTCCAAACATCCGTTTAATGGAGTGTGCAGCGCAGGACGCACGGGCGCGGCTGCATTCACCGAGATCGTACCTGATTTAAAAAGTCCTATGCGACAGTTTACGCACGTGATTTGATGTTCATATTGTATTCATTGTGAATTCGAAATTGTTGAATTGGAAAATCGTAAAATGTAAAGTCTTTCTACGTAAGCTACGGCATGTTCAACTAAAAGTAGGTAGGCAACGGCTTGGCTCTGCTCCTGGCATTACTGAAGTCGATGGGCGACGGTAACCACTCACCATCAGGTGGGCCGTATGCTCATCTGCCTATAAGGGCAATAAAAATAATAATAACAATAATATCGACTCAAATTGATTTAATACAATTTATGCACTAAAAATAGAATTTTCTTCGGTTTTCCCGAGTCGAGTGGCTATTAAATAAATTAAAAAGAAATAACTGGGAACTAATCAAGCACGGTCATCCGGCTCCCAACCAAGATTCTGTGTTATGGGTATCAGAGGCTGAAATAAATACTTATATAGGTTTAAACATGTACATACATAACAATATATAGAATAAACATCCAGTCAAAGAGCAAACAAACTTCTGAGAGTTAGAAGACTATTACGGTTCATTTGTAATTTATTTTAAATTAATCCAAAAATAATTCTTATCGCCGAAATAATTAACAGTAGCAAATAATAAACGTAATGAATCTATTTTTTTAAGTAAATTAGAAGGTAGATAACACCGTATTCAAATGTCGATGAATGACAACTTAGTCGTCCGTGTCCGTGACCAAAAAAACTGGAAGGTATTCGAAATAGCGGAATTAATGAGATGAAAATAATAAACATCAGATAAAACCTTCAATGTAGTTTTGATAATGTCGTAAAAATTTTAAAAAATAATCTTTAATTTGATAATAATGGTAATTAAACTTTTTTCGCTTTTATTGCAATACATAATTTCCAAGTTCGGAACTGTCAATCAAATTTTACAAGCTTAGAAACGAATTTACTGCACTGTAATGGAAAACTGTTGACATGATGACGGCACCTTCTCTTTTTATGATCATCAATCGCCTGTCTTCTGTAACACGGCACTGATTGCAGTCACCGTCGCTTCGTAAACTATGGCATTCACACTTTTATCTACTACTAGCTGATCCAGCAGACTTCGTAGTCCCTCAATCGATTAAAAAGACCTAAACTTTTGTATAAAAAAAACTTTAAAAAAAAAACAAAAGGAATCCGTCCGACCGGGACACATCAAAAGAAAAACAAAATAGTTTATTTTTATATAATTCCGATCATTTTCATATTTTTTTCACCTTTTGAACCTTCTCTGGACCTTCACGAATAATTCAAGAACAGAATTAGCCAAATCGGTCCAGCCGTTCGCGAGTTTTAGCGAGACTAACGAACAGCAATTCATTTTTATTTATATAGATAGATAGATAGATATATATTTCAGTAGATTGTTCATAGACAGGGGGTCTGAGTGACAAATAATAGAACAGACTACCTTCTAGGGTTTTTATATCTCAAAAATATGTCCCTTACGTCGTTTCGTTGATCATACTATTCACACGTTAAGCAATATGGCGTTCCGCATCATGCCTCTGATAGTCACGGCGGGCGCATCACCTATTCGAATTGTTGCATCCATTTCTTATGAATGCGTATGCTAATTTAGTGAATGCCGTGGTCTAGTTGTGATATGATATAGTCGAGATGATGTTGAAATTAATTTGGTTATTTCTTCATTCTTCATTTTTTGTACTATTCTGTAATTGTTCAGATAAATATTATTGTAGGCCAGGGAAGACTTCAATAATGGTTTATTCGAATCAATAAGAATCTATCATGTAGATGGTTTGTTGTAACAGAAGATTGTTGTTTTGTTTCTTATTAGAATTTGATTTACAGTTTTGTGCTTGTAAATTCAAAGGGTGTTAATTAATTACCGAATCTTATTCTTCTACCGGCCTTTATTTCACATTATGTGAGACCGGCGCGGTATTGACTCTGACTATACTACATATGGATTTGGCATGAGATTTACGATTGGCCGCCAGCCTGACGTGAACCTTCTTTGGGTTGTTTCTCCATATTATTTTATACATCGCAACGTGCCTGCCATAGGGAGGGACCTTTTCTCTTACTTTTATTTCATCCGTTTTTTGTTTACTGATTTGAATTTTATTGTTAACATTATATGTATGAAGTGTTTCGAAACGCGAATTGAAATTAACTTTTACCGATGATGTTTTCGTCCTTAATCATTTCCAATAGTAATAACTTCACTTGTAAAAGCGATTATAGAAAAATGAAGAGTGTGATTAAGGTATGTGTTTCCGTTGGTTACAGCTGGTGGTGAACCTGGCCCTCGTGATATACCATGCTCTGGACTACACACACGCGGAGGACGAGGAGAGGCTCATCTCGCCCGACCTCGAGGGGCTCATCACCGAGATGACGTCATGTGATCTAGTTGGTGAGTTGGTAATTTTGTTAATGACGTTGGAGCCAAGATGTACTTTTTTCTTTACATATTGCGTTGATGGTTGAACGAGCTCACGGTCCTCGTGGTGTTCAGTGACCGGAGCTTATAGATGTCATATATCATCGGAATGTCAATTGTATTATATAATAGCTGTCGATTTAGAACGCTTAATTTCTTCACGTCAGAAACGGATATGATGGTTAGAAACTGTATAAACTAAAAATAACATTCCCTTATTTTTTGGAGGGGTAATTTTCTAATAGAAACGTTACTTAAATCAAGTGAATAATACGAATTTGTGTATGAATTTAATAAACATACACAGATTATAGTAGATAGGTCAACAAACATCTAATTAAAAAACCGATATAAATTAATGTAAAAATACGATATATATATTTAATAATAATTTAAACATACATTTCCCACATATACAAATATTACTTAACATACAAATATGTGATAACTCGCCCACTTGTGCTGTGAAAATTGGAAATGCTTCCGAGCCCCCAGTAATCTTCCTTCAAAAAATAAAAAGGGAATTTTATTTTAGTAAGAATTTAATAATTTTGTATTTTTGTTGTTTCTCTCCGTGTTCTATACCTTATTTTCCATGGAGTGCTCTAGTTAGGAATGGTTTGATATGATTTCGTTCGCCCCCGGAGTTAGAGTTCATCCATAGCACAAGGTAAGACTGCGCTCATCCAGAATGCGTTTTCCTATTATTATTTTTTTACCACATACTATGCGGCTCTCGAATGGCCTCTCGTAAACCATATTTCTCGGGCGCTATGTCCTAACTAAGCGATAGGCAGAGTCTCAGCTTTGTCGCAGGTAATACCGGTATCAAAGAGCAACAATAACGAATCACGACAGGCACATCGTACGCTAATATGGCCTCGAAAGTAAATAAAAAAAAAACATCTACAATTAATAGTAGTCATCTTCATATAGATGAAGATGAACTTTTCCATTTGTATATCTTGATTTGTTTTCATCAATTTAAATTACATAACGTTTATGATGCACTGACTGTTTGGAAATTGGAAAGATACCTTGCTTAATAAACGAGGAGTTATGCATAATTTTTATGTTATAACTGACTATTAATATATTATATTTAACTTTTGCATTGATTGGTCGATTGCGTTTATTCACCAGCATGTCGTTTCTAATGCTAATTGGTTATTAAAGTCGACATAAATAATAATTACTCAAGCAATATTCAGCTTTAATACTACATGAATATATATTTTATTATTATTGTTGTCTGCAAAAAAAAAATGTTTGCTATGTTTTATTTGAGTCACGCTCACTCAATTCGAGTCAATTGAGTTATTTCTTGTAGTGCAATTCAGTTCTCTCCGGTAGCCGAACTTTCACCCTCTTGACCTTTCCCAGGGTCACGATGTACCGATACAGCAAGAAACGCTCTAAGGGAAATTGTCGTAGGCACTGTTCGATTTGTTGAGGACTAATAGATTTGAAATTCAGATGCACGACTGTATTTCTTTTGAGAATGGATACCATAAAACGAGATTTACTCGTTCTTGCTATCAATATTGTCGCAACCAAAATATTGTTTTTTTTGTTACAAAATATATTTAGTACTAGCTAAGTCCCGCGATGTTACCCGCAGTTATTGTCGTACCGCGGGTGATGCCGCAAGGCGAAGCTAGTCTAAAAAAAGTAGCCTAAGTTACTCTTTATATCATCAGCTACATATCAGTGAAAGTCCCGTCAAAATCGGTCCAGCCATTTCAGAGATTAGCCGGAACAAACAGACAGACAGACAGATTATTTTCTTTTCTTAAACGTTGGATGACTTAATTTTTTAAATGTGTTTAAATTTGCTGCTGCGTGTGTGTCATGGTGATTAAGTTGCTTATGAATAATTTGATAGTTGCAGCAGTGTACTATTGTTGTATTCAGACGCAACCCACACGGACACAACTCACTGAGTTCGCGATTCCAGTCCGGTGGTAGATTCGGCGAAGTACTTACTGCTCTTGCCAAGGCAGATGTTGGCAAAGACTCTTTTAGACTGAGCCTCGTCAGCTCCCCTACACACCTGGTGGATCCAGAACGGTTCCGACCAACCGTAATATTATTTGTAACCCAAATAGTTCCTTTAATTTATCTCAACCCTTTTCTCTGTAGTAGGAGTATTGCCATTTTTAGTAAATCTCCTCTTTCACGAGATGATTTCTCACAAGAAACCCAAAAGCAATTCCATCGAACCGAAATGTTATTTAAACTGAATAAAGCACGCATGAATTTCTATTACTGACAATTTGTTTTGGATAAACGTCGAATGTTCGTGAGGAGATTGAAATTTGTCGTTCGGTGTCGATCTCTTGCTGAGAGTGGTATTGCCAACTAAGTTTTTTAATTTGCTTAAAAGTTTTGCCTCATTTTCTAGATTTGCGGTGGGTTTTTTAATTTTTTGCCATAATAAGTGTAGCCGTATAAGAATGGTATAAGTAGTCCGCATTTATCCATGTTGAGCTTTGATTAGCACAAGTTTATGATGTTCTCTTCTCTTCTTTTACAATCTGCAAGCTCCGACTGATCAAGTTGCTGCGTAAGCTTACTTAAATCCCCCTAAATAGCTCTATGTCGTGTGATGTCATTAGGGGCCAAAGTAAACTGCAAGTGAGTTATTGATTTACTTTTATACTACAATTCTTGTAAATATAGACTTAATAAACTTCGAGTATTTAGTAAACGATCAGATTTTGTACGTAGATTAGATATTTTTTTTAAGTATTATATCTAGTTAAGAATTTTCCCCTAAAAAAGATCGTGATCTTAATGTGATTACATACTACCCTATAAAAAACGGTTTACCTGCTTTCAACAACTGAGACTTTACTTGTACACGGCCAACTAAAACAACAAAATTGTTTTGAATAATACTCATATTTTTATAGTCGCAGAAGCATTTAACGTCTTTTGAGTCCTTTGAGTGATCTTCATTCTTCATTCACAAAATTCGTATTCCATGTGGGAATGGCACTATTACAAATTACCCGAAATTTAGGGAAATTCTCTACATTCAATCCAACTTGGAGTTTGATGGTGGTCGTGCGTGCGAACGCTCTCTGTGTACACTAAGTTCACCGTTAGGAATCATGTGACGAAACTGAACGGTCATCGTTCACTGTCCGCAGGTCGTGTTGTGATTTTAACGAATCTTTCCTCACTAGATCGCGTTTTGATCTTATAGTAAGTAAAGAATTGTATAAGACATATATTATTCTCAAACTCGATTCATACAATTCTACTTTTTTTATGATTGATGCTTTACTGGTGGTCCGGAGGCCTTTCTTCAGCTTCACCAGAACAGGTGGGCGAGCAATGGCTCAGCCGGATCTACCTACTACCGGATACTATCGGATCGGAATCGCGACCCGCTGAGAAGATCCGGTGAGAAACTCAGCAAGCTGATGCATGGGTTAGGCTGCACGTTGAACTCTTTGTCGAATTCGACGAGTATGGTTACTGGCAATTCTACTACAGAAGAGTCACAGATACCAAAAGGCTCCTAACCAGACTCTAGGCGCTCCTAACCTAAGCCTAGACGTTCATTTCAAACACTAAGCTGTATTGTAAGTTATAAGTTATGACTGTATTTCGGTATCAAGTTGGTTGCTATTCTATGTAATTTTTTCGCCTCCAACATTATGATAATCTTAATGCCCTTTATGTGGTCTTGTTTCGAAACTATGAAATACGTATTAAATGAGGGCTTACGTGAAATGTTTTGCATAGAATTTGGAACATTTGAAAACATTACAAAACCATTTTGAGCTGATATGGGATACGGACGTGGGTAAATCAATATTTTAGTTATTCTAGAAATCCTTGTCCGTTGTTGTTAAAGTTATTTACATTTCATTGGCATGATGAAGATTAACTTTAGGACTATTGATTTGATTGTCGCTTTGGCTAAATTAAAACGGCAGAGGTTATATACATTTTCATTTTAATATTTTTTTGTAAGTGATTAAAATTATTTCATGTAGAATAAGTTCCAAATCTTATAATTATTTTTAGGCCGCGCATGCAATTACTTAATCTGAATGCAATCCAGTTTTTCCGTAATTGTTAATATTAATAATTTTCTGAGAAACAGTCCAAATTTTGTAATTATGTTCTGGTCGTGTATGTAATCAGTTGTACAAATGAGATCCAGTTACACCGTTATTAAATTGGGCAGTAAAAAAAGGAATGTCATTTTGATGTAGTACGTAACAATTATCAAAATCCAATGGTTGCATCGAATGGCAACTTGTTTTCACCAAATTTGCATTAAACTGCATTCACTTTATCCACAAGACACGTTGTTTGCAGTATATGTGGATGTCCTTATAGTTTTTTTTAATAAAGTAATGAAAACATTCTAAAAACAATATTGTGATACAAAATAATCCGTGCTTCCATCTCTTTCATCAACCTTCGGAAGTCTCATGAGGACACTCAATCTAAATTATCTTGTCACTTTCCATAGTTTTACTGTTGCAAGTGTTTCATTCGACCCGATGTCTCGATTCATAATCTAATCATAATTTCTTCGTCTCCACAATTACAGCTTCCGAGAGCTCACGACGGTGAACGTGCAGATTTATTACGTTTTAATAGTTGTGTGCACCGGAAAACGCGCCGTTTCGTATTCAATCTCGTTTTATGCCAATCAAAATATACACCTGCATTCGCCTGTTGCTCAAGCAGGTTTGTAAGGGAGCAGCCGTGTACGGAAACTGGAACGCGACGAGTGCCGTGATCGATGTAAACCCGATTGTAACTATCGAATCATGAATCGATTTAAAATCGATTCTATCGACGGGTGAATCGGGAGTTTTTTGGACGTTTCCCATCACGATGTTCATGGGCATTCCGTGACCTGTAACTGTTGATTTAGTTTCAAGTGGGCGATCGAGTCTAATATCGAGAGTATCGATTGGATCGAGAGAGGTTAATATCGGTCA